TTAAAGGAATATCTTATCTTTTCTGTCATGCCCCCCCGTAGGGAAGCCACACAATTTTCCAAATGTTTACTCAACTTTCACTCCACATTTAGCCCCTGGTCATGTGTAAAGAAGATTTTGTGGTGCCGTACAGGTGGTGCAGGTTTTTATTTTAAATACTAATAACGTTGTTTGGATTCAATTGCTCAGGTGAGGTAAAAACCTTATGGATATAGAGCAGCAAAAAAATAAAAGCGTGAAAGTATTTTGAAGATGTTGACGCGTCCGTGACCCCAAACTGTTATTATGATCCTCGAAGAGACAGAAAAGTAATACTTTGTGTCTCCCGGTTTTGTCCTTTGACCTCCTGATTTGTCCTGTGACCTCAATGATCACTGTGTGGGAAACAAACACAACATTGTGGTTGAGTCATGCTTCGTAGGTTTGTGTGTGTGTGTGTGTGTGTGTGTGTGAGGGAGCGAGAAAAAGAGGAGAGGGAACAGAAAACGAACAGGGAAGTATGCTTGTGTGTGTGAGAGAAACACAGGAAGGATTGCATTCAACCCCAGATTATCATACGAAGTGGACGGGATTTGACCTGATTTGTCATACCAGTGTAAACGAATCAAAGTCATTTCCTCGCCCTCGTTCAAGGGCTGCCATTTCCTCTGAATTTCCACCCTTCTCTGGTTTTCTCACTCTCTGATTCAGATGAAAAAGACAACTTCATGCCATGTCATGTGACCATAGGCGAGTAGCCACTGGATTCTTTAGATCTGTTCAGGTTTTGTAAAAGTTATGGATGTTTTGTGGAATATTTGTTTGTGGTCATGTTGTGTGTGTGTGTGTGTAATTGAACCCCTCATCAGAGATTAGGAGTTGTGTTTTCTGTATATTGTGATCTACCTGACGTTAAGTTTTCTGAAAAGCAGACTATCCATCCTCCATTTAGCCTGACTTTGCACTGGAAGTGCAGGTTCTGTTTCCAGCCACAAGAGGTCAATGTAGTGCCGTGAGCTTGACCTACTGAGCCACTTTAAGAAGCCAAACACCCTGGGACAATTTTTGAGAATTTAATCAATGATGACCTCTAATGAATTCTTATAAATCCATGAAGCAGATGAAACTTCCTCTGCGCTTTTAGTTTGAAAATTCCCTGCACTTCACCGGTCTCAACCTTGCCCAATTTAAAGATTTTTGTTGTTTTATGTAGATATTTTGTTTGCGGTGGTATCTACTGTTCACTATGCACACAATTAAGCATAATAGTAATTCTATTCTCCAGCTGTAACCACTAATAACACCATCATGTTAGATAGCAAGGGAATTTAGTGTTATTTACGGCTCTGACCTCCTCTTTCCAAAATCCATTTACACCCATTACTTACTTTGCAATCTTCCTGGCAAGCACTCGTGGTACTCTAATTTCTTTTAATGAAGCAGAGAGAAGATTTAAATCTAGCTTAGGTACATTTAAAGGTTCAAACACGGGCAAATATTTCCAGCAGGGTGTTCAGTCCTGCCAGGGCCAATATTATACACTTATTTTGACACTTACAAGATGCCCAATTGCCACCATTTTTCATTACAGTGGATAGCAAAGATAACTCGTATATTAAGTGTATATTAAGTAGGTTTTCCTGGTATACTGTGTCATTAGTACTAAGGTCAAAACAGATTGATAATGGAGGTAAGATCTCAACATTTAAAAACGTATCTAGAGATGTTCACACACAGCAATATTCACTAAATAGGATGAGGTTAATATCTTTATTTATATCTATTTTAAATGCCTAGCTTTTGACAGCTGCATTGACACCCCCGTAAGGATAGGTTGCATTATCTTCTGCAATAATATCCCCCTCTTTTTGATAGTATTTAAATGGCGTCTTTGAGTCATGGAGTCAATTCCCATTCAATAATTGACACTTATACTAGATTAGCCAGTGCTATTTAAATAATGTTTTATATTATTATTATTATATATATATATGTATTGTAACCGTCCCACGCTGAAAAGCCAGTGTAGTGTTAATAGGCTTTAGTCTGTACCATATACTACCAATGGTTTGTATCTACACACTGAACTTTTGAACTCGTGAATAAGCTCCCCCTCGCCTGTCGCTCAACCTCTCAACCCTCCGACAAACGCCGAACCGAGCCGAAGCCGGCCGACGACGACGTCAGCATATCTCGTTCTTTCGTTTTTCGCCTGCTGCGTGCGAAGGAGAGAGAGGAAAAAACGGCTCTCAGCAAAGCAACAAGAAGGAAGAGCAATGGCGACACTGGATCGCCAAATACCAAGTCTGGATACCTTCCTTTGCGAGCCTTGGTCTTCCTTCGTCAGTGCGGCTAAATTACGTTTTGTTGACAGTAAGTTCGCACGTCGGTAGCGTTGTTGTTTTTGCGGACAAACTGTCGGGAAGTGCGTGGTCCAACTGTCTGTGATTGAGTTGAGTAAAGCCCCCCTCCACCATGCAGGCAGGGTCTGTCAAAGCGCAGGCAAAGTAACTGTCAAAAAAAAACACTACGAAACGTTAACAGTAACGGCTGTCTTTAACCGTCGGGCACGAAGCCAACCGTTAGAGCGCACAGTTTGTGGCACAGGCGCGTGCAGTAGTGGTAGCGTCAACTGTCCAGCTGTAAGTTTGTTAGCTTCACTCGCCGTAAGGAAGACAGCTCAGGGGCGCTAGCGAGCTAATGCTAACCCCGAGAGCCAGCCTCGTAGGAGCAGCATGGCTCCACGTAAAGTTTGTTGTGAATGCGTGGTTTGTAAGTGGCTTTTTTTATATATATATATATATATATGTGTGTGTGTGTGTTCGTTCAGACGCAGACTCGTCCTTGGATAACAGCGACAGAGAGCTTTGCTGCCCCGGTGAAGAAGTGAAGCTCGGCGAAGAAGGTAAGGAAGTTCAACGCAGTGCATCGTGTGAAGGGGGTTTGTTATGGTTTTGTTTAATGCATGCTCTGCAGCGTTACGGATGCCACACGGTTTCTGTTTTCCACCACTTTACTCATAAAACATGTAAAAAAACAAACCAAAAACCCATTCTTGGATATAATTGATTTTACACGCATGGTTTTAAATACATACTTTAGTTTTAATATGTGCCTTGAAGGGGAAAGACACCACTCGTTATGTGTCTGTATTACAGTGAGTATCCAGTCTATAGGGCTGTAACTAATGATTATTTTCTCCATTAATTGCATTTATTCGACCAAAATATCTTAAAGCTAAATGTATTCTTTTTACTATCATATTTAGCAAACAAAAAAATTATTATTTGAGAAGCAGGAACCAGAGAATAATTGGCATTTTCGCTTTAAAACTTCTTAATTGATTATGAAAATGGGTGCCAGTTGATTTGATGTTGATTGACTCATCAATTAATCAACTAATCTTTACCCTTAGAAAGGCCAAACTGAACAAAAATCAGAGTTGATGAGGATAGCATTGAACAATAACCTATTGCTGTTATATTCAATGTATGATGCTGACGTTTTGGGTCTTTTAACATGGATGGGGCAATCAGAAGTGTCTATCATTATATAGTTAGTTAGTTATAGTGCAATGCATATTAACGCAAGTTTAGCCGAGCTGTTGTGTTGTTGTAAATGAATGAATATAGCTGGAGCAGGGGTTCTCAAATGTGCTATTCAGTATTACGTTACCAGAAGTCTAACACAGTAGTACAACTGTCGTTTCATAATCAGTGGATATGGCCTACATTACCAGCAGCATCCCTGTAGAAGCACTTGTACTGCGCTGTACTGCGCGTTTGATACACCAAAGTGTCCTTGTGGTCTGAGCTCGTGTGTGGCTGTAAGTTGTTTGTTGTTTTGTGCAAGATAATATATATCATCTTGTATCATTATATATCGTCGCCTGTGAGTCAGTCAGCGGAGGGTGTTGTGGGGTGGCCCTAAGCGATGAGTGGGTACCTCCAACCCTCAAAGGGACAGAGCCAGAGGAGTTCCTCCACACCTCACCACGTATAAATACCCACAGCACTCGTGCACACTTGAGTCATCCCTGAAAGTTGGAGCGTGCTGCAGCCCTCGTACGGACACACTGACGCACACACACGCAGCCTGGGAAACTCTCTTCCCACTCTCACTGGTCAAATACCGACACCCCCCCACACACACACACACACACACGCTCACATGCCTCATCTTCCTCTCTCAGAGCCAAGCTGAAGCAATGTTTCCAGTATTGCTGATCTGTTGGCAACATGACTCTCAAGGCCTGCTGAGAGTGATATGCACACACACACACACACACACACACACACACACAAGCCTCACAAACACACCGGGAAACGTTTTTAAATGCTTTACTTGTACAAATGTGTATCCAGCAGAAAGTAGTGTGATTCATCGCAGATTTATATATATATATATATATATATTACATGTTTACTCACTTGACACTTCAGTGCACATTTTTAAGACGGTGAGGCCAGGTTGGCACTTACTTGGTGTGTCGCTTCAGGTCATGATTGCTATCTGTGTCTTTCTCTCTCACTCACTTAACTATCGCAGACGTACACACAGCAGGGATGATGACAACTTGCAGCAACTTAGTTGGGCCGGACTGGCATCCACTGTCATCATCTCACTAGAAATAGGCAGGGCTGTAATGCTGCTATTTGTATGTTTACCCAAGTCTTTAGCAGGGATGGGACTCATCAGGAACCGTCGTGTTATTAACTGTGAGATACAGTATGTCATAGCTTTTATTCATTTATCTAGCTACACTGTATTTTCTTTGTAATCTCTTATAGTATTTTATATGTTTTTACCTGCTAGCGTGACCTTGTTATGAAAGGCGCCAACAAATAAACATTTATTATTATTATTATTATTATTATTATACCAAATGTGTTCAGTCGGCATCGAAAACAAAGGAAAATACCACAGTGCGCAGGGTATGGCAGGACATGAGCTGTTGGAAACCTTTGAGAGAGAAAAAAAAACACCTCCGTTATCTGGCAATCTACTCAGAATTAGTCATTAAGTAAACGGGGCACTATTGTCTCCATTCAAATGATTTCAGCTTGAAATTAGTCATATTACCCTGTCAACTCTTGAATACAGCCAAAGAAATCGCTACGTTTCTTGTACGTCTTGCAAATGCTGTAAAGTGAGGTGGATTCGAGATGCATGACACATTACCTTATGAGAGCGTGCCTCGTGGAGGATGCATAAAAGCAAAAACAGTCTACATCAATAACCTCGGATTCATGGCGACTGCTTTGATAAATTGTTAAAGTCATTTTTCAAGGAAAAGTGCCAAACATTGACTAGATCAAGCTTCAGAACTGTTAGGATTTGCTGTTTTTCTTCCTCTTATGTGATAGAAAAAGGCGGAATATCTTTGTGTTTTTGGACCATGAGTCGAAGAAAGACACATTGAAGAATTCACCTTCGGCTCCAGGAAATTGTGACTGTGAAAATGTCTCATTTTTCAATATGAATTGATAATGAAAATAATCCTAAGCTGTAGCCATAAAACCTTTACACATGGTCAGAATTGAAGCATAGTCAGAAATAAAGAGAGTAAATGGATCACATCTTTGTTGCCCCCTGAATAGAGATTGGAGTGGAACGCTCTTGTCCTTGCATAGAAAAGTCAAGTGCCCTTGATGTTATTGTCTTGAGCTCAGATGTTAGATCATAACTGCGGTTTCACCTTTTGTGATCTATCAGTGAAACTCTTTTTGTGGTTTGTTTCATAAATAGCTTCTTGTAATAGTTTTCCTGGCGGCATTTTTCAGCCTGGCTTTTAAACCCCACGAGCAGATGATTCTGACTTTAAAGACGAAATAGTTTGAAACTTAATACAGTTAAAAGTCAAGACTCGATTAAGACTTTGTTGAATAACGTCGAGTTCTTCATCATAGCAGCATATTTGTTCAATTTTATCCTTGTCTGTACAGCTTTATTGCTATTGGTAACGGCTTTACTGAGAAGAAAAAGGTTTGATCCCTTTTGTTTTTTGGGGCGCCAACTGAAAGTCTGACTCTTATTAATAAAAAATTTCAAAAACCTAGAACCGTCTTAAACTCTCCGAGTCTAACCCAGATTTGTGTCTGGGACATTTTTGTTAAAAAATGGAGATAGCAGTTGAGTTTGTAGCCTTGGGTCTGCAACATAAGCAGACTGCTAAGTTTGTTTACTCTTGTCAGACATTTTGGGGCAGTAGCAATAATTATCTGGTGTGCCAGTTCAGAAAACAACTTGAGTTGAAGCTGTGGCCTGTGTCTGCCTCTGTAACTGTTGTAACACAGTGATTACTCAAAAGTGGCTCCTATCGCCAACATTTCCGCTAACTTTGTGTCAGTGATTGCTGTTTCTTTGGTACAGTTGCATTATTACTTTGCTATTAGTCAGCCAAACCGCAGAATTTTAGAGCAGGGTCGAATAAAGTCTTGTTCTCTTTTTCTTCTCATGTTTGATAGTCGCTGCTATTAAACGCTTTTGTTTACCAGGAAGGTCATTTAAGTTGCCTTTCCAAACCCCAGTTCACCAATGGGGAAGCTGATTTACTTACTCTAAATGTAATCAGTGTCCAATGATGTGTTGTTTTAGTAGCTACAAACATGCTTATTCACAAGTGACTGATGTTTTTTGTAGTTCATTTTCTGGCCTGTCAGTCATTTGGCAGCCTGTGGAAGTTGGCTTGAGAGGCACAAACAGTTCAGGCTGCAGAAATAGGCTACGCACTTAGTTTGCATTTGAATTGGCAGATGCAGAGGAAATTGCATTCTTGCTTCTTTTTTTTTTTCTTCTTTTTTTGTTAAAGTACTCCCACTAAAGTCCTTTTCTGTTACTGCAAACCTTGGAATTTGCCAGAAAAGCTAAATTTCCCCCTCATTTTTTGGCTTGGCTTCGCTGATCAGTTTATCAACAAGAAAATGTTCTCATTTCCCACAGAAAACGACCCCTGAACGAAGTGTGGTGGTGCCGATCAACGTTTTTAACAGAAACCCTTTGGCAGGTATAGAGCTAACCTGCAGTCTCTCTGTTTAACTGCCGACAGAAAGTTATCAGTCCCGGCCACTTAACAACCTGCTGACTGCAATGACAATATTTAAATGCTGTTATTCACACCAGCCGCACCTTTCCATTTGTGTTCGTGTTACAGCTCGGACCAGGCTGCTTTCACTTAAGTCAAAACCAAACACTACAGTTTATTTGCTAGTGAGGGAAAGCAGTTTTTGTTCAGCAAACACAGGAATCGGAGACTTTGAATTGTGGCTTAAATCCAGAGGCGTGCTCAGAAATGATGGCCATGGAAAAGGAGTGAGAAATAATCTGCTCTTCTGTACTGACAAGGTGAACTTGGACAAAGCATCTTACTGCTCACCGCTTCAGTGCAGCTGCTCTGCATCCACTTTGGTATTTCTGTCTTGCCCTTAGTTTGATTCAGTCTCATTACTCTTAAGTATTTATTTAACAGCAACCTTCCATCAGTATTAACATAGCTCAAGGGTAATAAAATACATATTCCTACCAGTGATCCTGACGGCCTTAATGTGCCAGTCCTTGACCACTTCATGTATGATTAATGAAGCCGTTCGACATGTTGTATACATACAGTACGTATATAATGTGGCTTTGACCTTGAGTGACCACACACACACACACACACACACACACTGCTTGGCGCTAAGCATGACTGCCGATTCTCCAGTGTTTCTCATTGCAAGCTTTCACAAACAAACACGTTCATACACACCCCACCTCCCCTCAGTGAGTCTGGTTTAAGCCCCGTGCTAATACTATGATTTCTGTCAGCAGAGCTTGTTTGGGTATAGGAAGATTAGGTTCTCAAAGCTCAGCCAAACGAGATAATAGCTATTTTCCATTGGACATATTTGTTTTTCTCTGTATTTCTATTAATCTTCAGTTTCACCCGGAGTGGGTGGGGTATCTCTTGTAACTCCAGGCGCAGTGTTGCTGTATGCTAGCTGGGACACAGTATGCTACTTTGTGTGTGTTTATGTCCGTCTGTTCAGTAATGAAAACACAGATTATCATCTCTGTTCTCAGATGTTCCTTGTTAGTGAGAATTGCAGCAACAGGTGACTCGAATTATCTGAAAATACACCACGTATTTTACCTTAATTCATTTCCTTTTCGTTTGTTCTGCACTGTCTCTGTATTAACATGTGGGACTGGGCTGAGAGCGGGAACAATTTATTGATTCATTCATTAGTTTATTGATGTATTGAATTACTATCTATTTTCTTTTATATCACTGTAACATGGTTACCTTTAGTCGTGTTTTTAAATAATCTATTTGAAAGCATGGGAATATTAATGGGCACATTTTGACTAGTTTTTAACATTTCATAGACAAAATTATTAATTGATTTATCTGGAAATTGTCAGATCAATAATACAAATAATGGTTGCTGCACAAATAAATGAACCACCAGGCACTACTTTGACTGTCCTCATAGGAAGATGCCAACAAAGGTTTTACTGATTAATATTGTTTTTCAGTGTTTGTAATGGACTGTATGAACTGCTAAAGAAAAAGTTTGATAATAAAATGAGCCAATTGGAACTGACCTGTAAGACAGTTTCGCAAAAAACTTCCTCTATTTCTTGAACTCTTAATGCTCCTTTGTCTAAAATGTGTTCTCTAATCTTGATGTCTTTTTCAGAGATGCTTGTCTACAGCCAGTTTCCAGCACTGGAGGATTTTTGTCTTGTTGTCTGCCATGTCTGTAATCAGGTGGTCACTCCTCAGGGCATCCTCGCACACTATGGTAAGATCCCTCGGGCATAGTCGTACACCTCACGAAGACACACACCTCATGGTTTCTTTAGCTGTCTCACAAAGGCGCAGAACAAACATGCTCACGCACACACACTAACACAGAGACAGCCATTCAGATCAATACAATCATTTCTATTTATACCTGCAGGACTCTTGAAAAACATAGCCCCCCTGCAATTTATCCTCCATACAAACAAAAACAAAAGCTTGGTTATGCCTTCTAACATCCAGCAGGCTGAGAAACATTAAATAATATACAGAGTAATGGACCAGACGTAGCATTGTGCATGAGCTTTTTGCCCAGGAAATAAGGATATGGACGAAGCCAACTATGAGAATAACCATTTTCTGCTCTTGAGATAATGTTTTTTAAAGAGGTTGATGTTTTTGATATTCTTGTGCTCATACGCTAAAAAGGCTGCAAAGGTACGCTTCACTGATTTCAAGGCTTTACTGATTTCAAGGCTTTTTCAAGCAGGGTTAAAAAATGTTCAAAAATTAAATTGAAAAAAAGAAAGTTGTAATGTCTTCAACAATGCTTTTAGGAGCCAGTACACAGACACGCACTAAATTTAATAAAATTCAACATTTGTTGGTATGGAGACTGCAGTCATAGGCACAAACCCTATTGATCTAGTTGAGATGTCGCTCGACATTCTTACATTAAACATCGGAAAAGGTGTTAAAGTCTGTGTTCAACTTAGCAAAAGTCTGGGTATTTAATAAGGAAAGGAAAATATGTAGGAAGTAGTGGATGGTATTTGTTGTATAAGTGGTAGCCCCTCACCCCATCCGTCTACCTCTTGTTTGTTTTTGATTGTGGCTCCACCGAGCGCGGTCGCATCTGCCCACGAGCTGCTGCTTCCTTCTGTTGGAGGCACGTGCACCAGCCTGAGCCGTCTGTTTGAGCAGCGGAGAGACACACATGGTTATGCTTAATGAACACACACACGCACACACACACACTCTTCTCCCTGTGAGGAGAGAGGCCAGTGAAGTTGCATGCACACACATTCTCACTTTCTCTTTCTAAGTAGAAAGAGGTCAGTTGTATTGTGAGACACACACACACACACAACACCCACAACACACACCACACACACCCTAGACTCCTGCCAGCGCTGTTTTCCTGCTCTGCCGCCTGCACCTCCCTCCCCCCGCCCCGTGGCAGCGCGTTTCTAAACATTGCGACCACCCCAGCAGAGCCGGGCAACAACCGAAGCCGCGCGCAAGCCTAGTCTAACACACCACACGCACCACACACCCCGATCCGCACCACCCGCACCACACAGGAACGCGTCGGGAATCTCCTGAGGAGCCCGTCGCCTTACTAAACCCACCAAAACTATCCTGCCCAAACAAACGATTACCAGGCAGGACACTTGCGTGGGCCAAGCGAGCCACCCCAAGTCCATGCGACCTCACAGGCAAAAGCTTGCGGTAAGCCACTTTCAGCCTCCCCATTCATCCATTACCGTGGCGGTGTTATCAACTCCACCTGTTCGAGACTGCGCAGGGCAGTGACCCTACGCAGACGTCTCCACCGTCTCACGCAGCCACTTGAGTTGACATTTGACCATTCATCTCTAAAAACTGAAGCATAACACAGCCAAAACTCACTCCGTAGTGACATTGCATGAAAACATCCCCCTGCCTCTGCGGAGTGGATTATCCCAGGAACACTGGCCTGTCAGATATCTATGATGTTTTCATTCATTCCTCCCAATTGTGGCTCATCCCATCAAGTGATCACCTGTAACCCGACCCAAAACAAGCCAGTGCCACGTGTTCCCTGCTGGGCATGTCTACTTAAATGTGTGACCCCGCAGAGACAAATAACACACCAGATACTGTAACTGTGTGAGGGACACATCGAGTGACACATAGCTTATGACATACGGGCATGACAACACTGAAACCATCCCACACACCACAAGAAGAAAGAGGGAGAGAGAGGAAGACACGCATCAGGAGGAGCAGGACTCCGAAGTAAAACAGACCAGATTAATAGAGACAGCACACAAGCATGTGTAATCACAAGTAAGCCAGACTGAGTAGATACTAGAAACTAACAATACCACTATGATCATAAGATGCTCAAGAGTAACCATAACAAGATTTACCATCAAGACCATGCTACACAATATATTAGAGGAGTTGTATATATTAAATCCCTATCTAAGAAAAAAGAGGCACGCAAGTAGTATCATAGTTAAGGGAGCCCTCCAGAAGGGATGTACAAAAATAAATACCTCACCACTGGCAAATGATTCACCACAGCTACACCACAATCCGGATGAAGTATGTAAAACACAATCCCACACCACCCAATATGATTAAAGCACAAATGAAACACCAGAGTTGAATCCCACAACAACCACGGAGAAGGAGACAGAGATTACCCGCCGCCCACTCTGGTCTGCTTACAAGCTGCGCTTACAACGATCGGGGGACAGAGCCGGATTCGGCCACTTCTTTCCTACACAACCCAACTTCCGGCAGGGAGGCCTCGGGGTAACATTCTACAAGGAGAGAGAAGAGAGAGAAGGAATAAATATAAATATGAAGACCCAAATGCCACAATACAAAACAAACTGACGATAAATAACTCGATTAACAAAAAAAACCAAAGAGAAACCACAACATAATGGCAAAAAGTACAAAAAAAACAGTACAAATTACCCACACACAAAAAACAAAAAAACATTAAACATCATAAACAGAACCAGAAGAATAACATAGAGCAACGAAATGAGATTCAACCAAGCAGGTCAAAGCTTGAGAAGCAAAACTGGCCCGTGTATATCAACAACCCCGGAGCCCCACCGATCACCCTGTAGCACGCCAACCCCCTCGCTCCTCTGGCGGTGGTGCAGTGTACTCTGTAGGCCTCCCAGTCGTTGATTCAATGCACAGGTCACGGTATTTTTTTTTTGTTTTTTTATTTGTTTTCTCATTTATAGAGCGCAGATCCACCCCCGCTCGACACACACACACAGACCAATACACAAGGCGCATGCGCTGGAAGTATAAAACTGCTCCTGTCGCGGTCCCACAACATCTAACAGTGAGCCAAGCCCACAGGAACAAATGGCACGAACTCTGTGGCATATACCAGCTGAACCCCATGAGGAAATGAGCAACCAACGGGCCCAGGAAAGATCTGAATAAAAACATCATAAGAACATAATCCTGACAGCGGCCAGTTCCTGGAGGTAACCGCCACTCAGTCAGCAGAACGGTCAGCGGGCAGCATCTTCCATGCAATGACACGGAGTATTTGTATCAAATGCTTGCATACTTTACGCGAATAATCCAACCAAGTCACACTCAAGTGCCGGCACGGCCAGGAGCACTTGTATCGGTCACTGCACTACAGTGTAAACGATATAACACAAAGTGATGAATACTGACTGAAT